TTAAGACTTGTATGTTTGTTCATTCTGACTCTGTGTAACAGTCATATTTGCTGTCTAAGGGCCTGTATCAGTCATGTCAGTGTAATTTAGACTTGTGTGTCTGTTCATTCTGACTCTGTGTAACAGTCATATTTGCTGTCTAAGGGCCTGTATCAGTCATGTCAGTGTAATTTAGACTTGTGTGTCTGTTCATTCTGACTCTGTGTAACAGTCATATTTGCTGTCTAAGGGCCTGTATCAGTCATTTCAGTGTGATTTAGACTTGTGTGTCTGTTCATTCTGACTCTGTGTAACAGTTATATTTGCTGTCTAAGGGCCAGTATCAGTCATGTCAGTGTAATTAAGACTTGTATGTTTGTTCATTCTGACTCTGTGTAACATTTAAATGTGCTGTCTAAGGGCCTATATCAGTCATGTCAGTGTAATTAAGACTTGTGTGTCTTTTCATTCTGACTCTGTGTTACAGTCATATTTGCTGTCTAAGGGCCAGTATCAGTCATGTCAGTGAAATTAAGACTTGTGTGTCTGATCATTCTGACTCTGTACGTGTAACAGTTATATTTGCTGTCTAAGGGCCTGTATCAGTCATGTCAGTGTAATTATGACTTGTGTGTCTGTTCATTCTGACTCTGTGTAACAGTCATGTCTGTGTAATTTGGAATCATGTCTGTTATATTTGCTGTCTGAGGGCCTGTATCAGTCATGTCAGTGTAATTTGGAATCATGTCTGTTATATTTGCTGTCTGAGGGCCTGTATCAGTCATTTCAGTGTAATTTGGAATCATGTCTGTTATATTTGCTGTCTAAGGGCCAATATCAGTCATGTCAGTGTAATTTGGAATCATGTCTGTTAAATTTGCTGTCTAAGGGCCTGTATCAGTCATGTCAGTGTAATTTGGAATCATGTATGTTATATTTGCTGTCTAAGGGCCTGTATCAGTCATGTCAGTGTAATCATGTCTGTTATATTTGCTGTCTGAGGGCCTGTATCAGTCATGTCAGTGTAATTTGGAATCATGTCTGTTAAATTTGCTGCCTAAGGGCCTGTATCAGTCATGTCAGTGTAATCATGTCTGTACAAATGATTGAGGGTCTGGATGGGTTTGACAGAAAAGAGAATAATGTGCAAAAAAAGGAATAATTGGGTGCTAAAAAAATTAATAAATAAAATAATAAAATAATTAAACAAGAATGTGACCATAGTACACGGTTGCCCCAATCGCACTATCATTTGCTATGTTCAGCGGACCGTGAAATTGGGGTCAAAACTCTTATTTGGCATTAAAATTAGAAAGATCATATCATTATGAACATGTGTACTAAGTTTCAAGTTGATTGGACTTCAACTTCATCAAGAACTACCTTGACCAAAAACTTTTAACCTGAAGCGGGACAGACTGACAGACGGACTGACGGACGGAGACAACCAGACCGAAAAACATAATGCCCCTCTACTATCGTATGTAGGGCACATAAATATAGAAATGCAGACCCCCATCCAGAACCTCATAAAAGTGTTGCATAAATCCTTCCCACAGTCTACTCAAACAATTGATTAGTGTTTCCTGCCTTCCGTGCATTTCTGGCCTTTTCCAGATATTCCTTGTCACAGGTGTAATGTACAGGTAATCCTTTATGCTTGCCCATGATGTGTTTGCGACAGTTGCCACCGGTCAGTGTAATTAAGACTTGTGTGTCTGTTCATTCTGACTCTGTATCAGTCATGTCAGTGTAATTTGGAATCATGTCTGTTATATTTGCTGTCTGAGGGCCTGTATCAGTCATGTCAGTGTAATCATGTCTGTTATATTTGCTGTCTGAGGGCCTGTATCAGTCATGTCAGTGTAATTTGAAATCATGTCTGTTATATTTGCTGTCTGAGGGCCTGTATCAGTCATGTCAGTGTAATCATGTCTGTTATATTTGCTGTCTGAGGGCCTGTATCAGTCATGTCAGTGTAATTTGAAATCATGTCTGTTATATTTGCTGTCTGAGGGCCTGTATCAGTCATGTCAATGTAATCATGTCTGTTATATTTGCTGTCTGAGGGCCTGTATCAGTCATGTCAGTGTAATTTGAAATCATGTCTGTTATATTTGCTGTCTGAGGGCCTGTATCAGTCATGTCAGTGTAATTTGGAATCATGTCTGTTATATTTGCTGTCTGAGGGCCTGTATCAGTCATGTCAGTGTAATTTGGAATCATGTCTGTTATATTTGCTGTCTGAGGGCCTGTATCAGTCATGTCAGTGTAATTTGGAATCATGTCTGTTATATTAGCTGTCTAAGGGCCAGTATCAGTCATGTCAGTGTAATTTGGAATCATGTATGTTATATTTGCTGTCTAAGGGCCTGTATCAGTCATGTCTGTGTAATCATGTCTGTTATATTTGCTGTCTGAGGGCCTGTATCAGTCATGTCAGTGTAATTTGGAATCATGTCTGTTATATTTGCTGTCTGAGGGCCTGTATCAGTCATGTCAGTGTAATTTGGAATCATGTCTGTTATATTTGCTGTCTGAGGGCCTGTATCAGTCATGTCAGTGTAATTTGGAATCATGTCTGTTAAATTTGATGTCTAAGGGCCTGTATCAGTCATGTCAGTGTAATTTGGAATCATGTCTGTTATATTTGCTGTCTGAGGGCCTGTATCAGTCATATCAGTGTAATTTGGAATCCTGTCTGTTATATTTGCTGTCTAAGGGCCAGTATCAGTCATGTCAGTGTAATTTGGAATCATGTCTGTTAAATTTGCTGTCTAAGGGCCTGTATCAGTCATGTCAGTGTAATTTGGAATCATGTCTGTTATATTTGCTGTCTAAGGGCCTGTATCAGTCATGTCTGTGTAATCATGTCTGTTATATTTGCTGTCTGAGGGCCTGTATCAGTCATGTCAGTGTAATTTGGAATCCTGTCTGTTATATTTGCTGTCTAAGGGCCAGTATCAGTCATGTCAGTGTAATTTGGAATCATGTCTGTTAAATTTGCTGTCTAAGGGCCTGTATCAGTCATGTCAGTGTAATTTGGAATCATGTCTGTTATATTTGCTGTCTAAGGGCCAGTATCAGTCATGTCTGTGTAATCATGTCTGTGATATTTGCTGTCTAAGGGCCAGTATCAGTCATGTCAGTGTTATTTGTAATCATGTCTGTTATATTTGCTGTTTAAGGGCCAGTATCAGTCATGTCTGTGTAATTTGGAATCATGTCTGTTATATTTGCTGTCTAAGGGCCAGTATCAGTCATGTCTGTGTAATTTGGAATCATGTCTGTTATATTTGCTGTCTAAGGGCCAGTATCAGTCATGTCAGTGTAATTTGGAATCCTGTCTGTTATATTTGCTGTCTAAGGGCCTGTATCAGTCATGTCTGTGTAATTTGGAATCATGTCTGTTATATTTGCTGTCTGAGGGCCTGTATCAGTCATGTCAGTGTAATTTGGAATCATGTCTGTTATATTTGCTGTCTGAGGGCCTGTATCAGTCATGTCAGTGTAATTTGGAATCATGTCTGTTATATTTGCTGTCTAAGTGCCAGTATCAGTCATGTCAGTGTAATTTGGAATCATGTCTGTTAAATTTGCTGTCTAAGGGCCTGTATCAGTCATGTCAGTGTAATTTGGAATCATGTATGTTATATTTGCTGTCTAAGGGCCTGTATCAGTCATGTCAGTGTAATTTGGAATCATGTATGTTATATTTGCTGTCTAAGGGCCAGTATCAGTCATGTCAGTGTAATTTGGAATCATGTATGTTATATTTGCTGTCTAAGGGCCTGTATCAGTCATGTCAGTGTAATTTGGAATCATGTCTGTTATATTTGCTGTCTAAGGGCCAGTATCAGTCATGTCTGTGTAATTTGGAATCATGTCTGTTATATTTGCTGTCTAAGGGCCAGTATCAGTCATGTCAGTGTAATTTGGAATCCTGTCTGTTATATTTGCTGTCTAAGGGCCTGTATCAGTCATGTCTGTGTAATTTGGAATCATGTCTGTTATATTTGCTGTCTGAGGGCCTGTATCAGTCATGTCAGTGTAATTTGGAATCATGTCTGTTATATTTGCTGTCTGAGGGCCTGTATCAGTCATGTCAGTGTAATTTGGAATCATGTCTGTTATATTTGCTGTCTAAGTGCCAGTATCAGTCATGTCAGTGTAATTTGGAATCATGTCTGTTAAATTTGCTGTCTAAGGGCCTGTATCAGTCATGTCAGTGTAATTTGGAATCATGTATGTTATATTTGCTGTCTAAGGGCCTGTATCAGTCATGTCAGTGTAATTTGGAATCATGTCTGTTAAATTTGCTGTCTAAGGGCCTGTATCAGTCATGTCAGTGTTATTTGGAATCATGTATGTTATATTTGCTGTCTAAGGGCCAGTATCAGTCATGTCAGTGTAATTTGGAATCATGTCTGTTATATTTGCTGTCTAAGGGCCTGTATCAGTCATGTCAGTGTAATTTGGAATCATGTCTGTTAAATTTGCTGTCTAAGGGCCTGTATCAGTCATGTCAGTGTAATTTGGAATCATGTATGTTATATTTGCTGTCTAAGGGCCTGTATCAGTCATGTCAGTGTAATCATGTCTGTTATATTTGCTGTCTGAGGGCCTGTATCAGTCATGTCAGTGTAATTTGGAATCATGTCTGTTAAATTTGCTGTCTAAGGGCCTGTAAAAATGATTGAGGGTCTGGATGGGTTTGACAGAAAAGAGAATAATGTGCAAAAAAAGGAATAATTGGGGGCTAAAAAAAAAATTAATAAATAAAATAATTAAATAATTAAACAAGAATGTGTCCATAGTACACGGTTGCCCCAATCGCACTATCATTTGCTATGTTCAGTGGACCGTGAAATTGGGGTCAAAACTCTTATTTGGCATTAAAATTAGAAAGATCATATCATAATGAACATGTGTACTAAGTTTTAAGTTGATTGGACTTCAACTTCATCAAAAACTACCTTGACCAAAAACTTTTAACCTGAAGCGGGACAGACTGACAGACGGACTGACGGACGGAGACAACCAGACCGAAAAACATAATGCCCCTCTACTATCATAGGTGGGGCATATAAATATAGAAATGCAGACCCCCATCCAGAACCTCATAAAAGTGTTGCATAAATCCTTCCCACAGTCTACTCAAACAATTGATTAGTGTTTCCTGCCTTCCGTGCATTTCTGGCCTTTTCCAGATATTCCTTGTCACAGGTGTAATGTACAGGTAATCCTTTATGCTTGCCCATGATGTGTTTGCGACAGTTGCCACCGGTGGCACACCTGAAATCACAATAGTCACATTTATATGGCTTAATTCCTTTCAGTTGATGCTGAACTCGTATATGCATGTTAAGTGAACTAGTAGTTTTTGCTCTATAACCACACTGACTACAGACTTTGTCTTGGTCCTTTGTTGAATGTTTGTACTTCTGATGAGCTACTAATACAGTCATGGTAACGAATCTAGCGTCACATTGATCACAGATATAATTCCTGATGTTATTGTGACTGTTCGTATGATTGGCGAATGTTTTTCTATTTGGAGTCTGGTATGTACATTGGTGACATTGGAAGTACTGACGGTCATCATCAGCCATCTTGACCTTATGTTGATTCCATAAGTGATCTATAAGAAAAATTATTTTATACAGTTAATAGCTATAGGAATAAACTGTTATCACAGAGATATGTCTCACCATTTTGTAATTTTGATGAAGCAAATGTTGAAGTAAAACTAACAATACTTTAACATGTAAGTTATGCAAATATTCAAAGTTGATTAACCCGATGACAGAAGGTATATGGCTAAAAAATCTCCATGGAATGAGATGTGCTACTGCTAATACAACTGCATACCAAATACTAATACCATTGACCCTTTTAACAAAGGCACTGGCAAGTATTTTACCAAACAAGAGTGTTATATTTTTATGTTGTTTTTTATTTCATATATCAACATAATTCATAATAAGTATTTCATATTTCACTGTTGTTGTTTTATTCTGAAGGAGTAAGTTTTAATGCTTTAAAATACTGACTGTATTTAACAGGTAATTACTCATTTATTGTTATAACAACACCTATTGTATTTTGTTTGTAGGCAAAGGTTGAATATATATTTTTCAAATGTTGGCATAGGTTGAAGACACCCTTTAGGAACATCAAAACAATTAATCACTTAAAACTATTTAAACACTATTTGTTGAAAAATATTATCATTATTATTATTATCATTATTACTAATATTATCTAGTACATGTCAAGGAATTAAGCAATAAAACTATAGAAAGTCTAAGTTTTAATAAATCTAGCGTATATTGCAGTCTCCTATGTAACAATAACACAATGTAAGCATAGAGTTTGGTTATTATATTAGTATGATAGATGTACAGTACCCGAGAATATGTTATTTAGTTCTGTGCTACATACATTTTATTATCTACCGTTAATTTGTCACGATAGAATATAGAACAAGATAATTTGCGTAGCTATTTGATTATTGATACAGATAATTGAAATTTCATAAATGGCAGCATATCAAACAAAATAAGGAAAAGTGTTAAGTTGATTTTATTAGTACACTTAAATTATACATTGTAATGATAGAAGGATAACTATGAATGAACTTGAGTTATTTTGTCATATTGTACAATGTTGTATATTTTAATATTTTACGAGTCCGAATGTTTATGATTACATTTTGGTTTTAGGATTCCTGATGTAGTTATATATAATACAGAGTGTAGTTGTGAACTGTGCCTATTCCTTGCCAGTAAAACTCACTCCACAACTGGTAAGAGTCAATCTATTTTAATCACGAGAACGTTATGGATTATTTCCCTTTAAATATGCAGTTTTAAGCATATTTAAAATATTGGCTTTATAAGTCCTGTGGAGAAAACATTTAATGAGGATGTGTGTGGGGTATTGACAATAATGGACAAAATAATTATAAAATAGAGAAAACTGGTCTAAATAAAATAAAAAATAATTAAAATAGTATATAAAAAAATAAAGTAATAAAGTAATAAAGGACCTCCCCAATCTAGACCGTCCTTAATAAGCCTGTGTTAATCTCTGCGATGGATTTAAATGTTTTAAGTCAACATAGAGTTCAATATACTTCAATTTTCTTTTGCAATGATCTAAGGGAGACAACTTACTCTGAAGATTAAACTTTGTTGTACACTGGATTGGGCAATATAAGGGAGACAACTTACTCTGAAGATTAAACTTGCTTGTAGTCCGGAATGGACCAATATAAGGGAGACAACTTACTCTGAAGATTAAACTTTCTTGTAGTCTGGAATGGACAATATAAGGGAGACAACTTACTCTGAAAATTGCACTTTGTTGTACTCTGGAATGGACAATATAAGGGAGACAACTTACTCTGGAGATTACACTTTATTGTACCCTGGAATGGACAATATAAGGGAGACAACTTACTCTGAAGATTACACTTTGTTGTACTCTGGAAAGGACAATATAAGGGAGACAACTTACACTGAAGATTAAACTTTGTTGTACTCTGGAATGAACAATCTAAGGGAGACAACTTACTCTGGAGATAAAACTTAGTGGTAGTCTGGAATTGACAATACAAGGGAGACAACTTACTCTGAAGATTAAACTTTCTTGTGGTCTGGAAAAGACAATATAAGGGAGACAACTTACTCTGAAGATTGCACTTTGTTGTACTCTGGAATGGACAATATAAGGGAGAAAACTTACTCTGGAGATTACACTTTATTGTACTCTGGAATGGGCAATATAAGGGAGACAACTTACTCTGAAGATTACACTTTGTTGTACCCTGGAATGGACAATATAAGGGAGACAACTTTCTCTGAAGATTAAACTTTGTTGTACTCTGGAATGAACAATCTAAGGGAGACAACTTACTCTGGAGATAAAACTTAGTGGTAGTCTGGAATTGACAATATAAGGGAGACAACTTACTCTGAAGATTAAACTTTCTTGTGGTCTGGAATGGACAATATAAGGGAGACAACTTACTCTGAAGACTACACTTTGTTGTACTCTGGAATGGACAATATAAGGGAGACAACTTTCTCTGAAGATTAAACTTTATTGTACTCTGGAATGGACAATATAAGGGAGACAACTTACTCTGAAGATTACACTTTGTTGTACCCTGGAATGGACAATATAAGGGAGACAACTTTCTCTGAAGATTAAACTTTGTTGTAGTCAGGAATGGACAATATAAGGGAGACAACTTACTCTGGAGACTAAACTTTGTTGTACTCTGGAATGGACAATATTCACACTGGAACTTGTAGTTATCTCTGGTATGAAAGTTTGCTATGTGTTCAATTAGATTTTTTTTGGTTGAGTAAGCCTTGCCACAACTTTCACATAAGTGTGGTCTCAACTGTCTGTGTACACTCCTTACATGTCTCAATAAACGACTGAAAAAAATAACTGCTTGATTAATAAAAATTCAATAATTATGATAAGGGAACGACCATTTAAACTTCAAGAAGGGGATCCCAAATTTGATGAAAACAAATATTCTGGTCAAGCAGATGACAAAAAAAATATTCTGAATCCAAATTTCCCCCATACCTTAGTGTTAAATATTGAATAAAAAAATTTGATAGATAGTGTTGAAAAACAAAATAAAATTGATTGCACTTTGCACAAAAACATTTTCAGACCCCGAAAAAAACAATAACCCCCCCCCTTAAAGTTAAATGGTTGCTGCCTAAATCAATGAAACTTGAAAATGAGATCAAGGTCATGTATTTCCTGCAAGACAGAAGGCAGGCCTTTAACCGTTAAATAATTATATGTATTAATTAAAGTTATTCAGCTTTTGGTTAATCTAAACAAATAAAAATTATAAATCACATACAAAAGACAACGCCTGGTAAATCTGTAGTATGGTATTAAAAAAATATACAATTGAATCATGATAAGGTCAAGGTTAAAATTCAGCATGATGCATATTAACTCAACTTTAACTTACAGAAGCTGAAAAACTTACCTATAATCTGAAATATCCTAAAATTTATGTTAATTTAACAGAAGTCAGATCATCAGATGGACAAACAAAAATTCAGTAGACCCATTACATGTATAGTTAATCTGACTAGACATAGTACTTGAGTAACTTACCTAACCACAATAACTAAACATTTATCAATCAACCATGAAAACAAAGTACTTATCAAATTGACAGACAGACATGTTTACCATGTAAAAAGTGATGAAATTAGGTCTTTCCTCCTTTCCGTGGAAAGACCTATTGATTTTTCTCTGATTTTTTTTTTTTCTTCTTCCGCCTGATTTTTTTCTTGTGCTGTATTTTTGTTTCAAAAGATGTCGCTTCGTTTTTTTGTATATGATATCATACAGTCTATACGCTTTTAAAACTGACCATGTTTAACCGAACACTTTTGTTTGTAAGAGTTATCTCCCCAAATACTGTTTTTCTTGTTATGAGATCTCCTTTGCAACCGTAAAAGAAAGCTACAAATTCATTTTTTCCAAATTGCTCGTTATATCCTCAGAATGTTATGCTTTATTTTGACCGAAGCAATACAAAGACTCCATATGACAGTTATTCCCCCTTATGCATTTGATATAAGTGATATGTATTTCTAACTGGTAAACCTTAAGTGATATAGACCTAGGGTCTTTTGATTTGAGGTCCATGGTCCAAAAAAACGAAAAATAGGTCAAGGCCAGAGGTCAAGGTCATATTCTAAATTTAGATTTTGGCTTATTTTCACTTTTTTCAAAAACCGTATAAGATACAGACAACATATATTTTTCTAAATTGTTAGTTGTGACATGTCATAACACATACATTTTGGTTGAAAAGGTATGCTTACATTAAAAAGGAGTTTTATTTTATATTTAAAATTACGTGTATTGTGATATAACTCATTCACCATATATAATAAAGACCTAGTGTCTTTTGATTTGAGGTCCTTGGTTTATGACCTTCAAGTTGAGCTCAAGGTCATAGGTAAATTTGACGTTCTAGATTTTGACCTTTGTTTTAACTTCATAAGTATACATGATAAAGCCATGGGACTTTTGCATTAGGTTCCAAGTCATATATGACCTTTATAAATCCAACCGGATGTGACCTTGTGTAAACTGGAAGTAGCTATTTTTTGTACCTGTGTAATGTACAAGTATATAGAACCATATATTTTTGGAATCAGGGTCAAGTAAACTATCAAATAATACCAGAAGTGAAAATTTTCAAACCGGAAGTAACTAATTATCTCCCTTATTTAAAAAAAAAATGTCTAGAAACCATATAATTTTTAAATCAGCGTACAATTAGCTATCATTTGACACTAGAAATGACATCTCAAACCAAAGTTTAATATTTTTGAATTAAAAATGATCATTCCAGGTAATTCTTTTTTTTTTTGTTCTTACAGCTTATTTTTTTCTTGCGCAGTATTTTTGTTTTAAAAGATGTCGCTTCGTTTTTTAGCATATGATATTGTACAGTCTATACGCTTTTGAAACTGACCCTGTTTAACCAAACACTTTTCTTTGTAAGAGTTATCTCCCCAAACACTGTTTTCTTGTTATGAGATCTCCTTCGCAACCGTAAAAGAAAGCAACAGATTTATTTTTCCAAATTGCTCATTATATCCTAAGGATGTTACGTTTTATTTTGACCAAAGTGTTACGAAGACTCCATATGAGAGTTATTCCCCCTTATTCATTTGATATAAGTGATATGCATTTCTTACTGGTAAACCTTTAGTGATAGATACCTAGAGTCTTTTGATTTGAGGTCCTTGGTCCAAAAAACAGAAAATTAGGTCAAGGTCAGAGGTCAAGGTCATATTCTAAATTTTGATTTTGGCTTATTATCACATCATTTCAAAAACCGTATGAGATATCAACAACATATTTTTACTAAATTGTTAGTTGCGACATGTTGTAACACATACATTTTGGTTGAAAGAGTATGCTTACATTAAATTGAAGTTTCCTACCCCCTTATATTTGAAATACATGTAACATGTTTGGTGATATAACTCATTAACCATATATAATTAAGACCTAGGGTCTTTTGATTAAAGATCCTTAGTTTATGACTTTGAAATTGAGCACAAGGTCATTGGTAAATTTGACGTTCTAGATTTTGACCTTTCCTTTTACCACATATGTATACATGATAAAGTCATGGGACTTTTTGCATTAGTTTGCAAACCACTTGACCATGGAAAAGCCAACCGGAAGAGATCTTATGTAAACAGGAAGTAGCTATTTATTGTACTTATTTAATGTAAATGTATATTGAACCATATCTTTTTGGAATCAGTGTGAAGTAAACCATCAAATGAAACCTGGAAATGACATTTTCAAAACGGAAAGTAACAAACGATCTCCCTTATTTTAAAAATATATGTATAGAACCATATATTTTTGGAATCAGTGTACAATAAGCTATCATTTGACGCTGGAAATGACATTTTAAACCGAATTTTAATAGTTTGATATCAAAATAGATCTTTATGGGTGGAAAGACCTTCAAATGTTCTCTGAACAATTGGTTTTTAATTATGAGTATTTTTACCTGTAAGATTTTTTTGTGAAAAGAGTTTATGGACTGAGGGAAAGAGAATACATGTACACTATGTACCTAAGTATCACTTTTTAACAAAAAATTAAAGGCTACTGATCACAGTATATATATATATATATATATATTATTCTGAGGAAGAGTGCCCCTGAACACAAAGTTGTCTTGGTTCTTGTCTAATCAACACTGTACTCACAAATAGTGGGCATTCTTATACTGACACTCATCACAAGAATATAATTAACACTGTACTCACAAATAGTGGGCATTCTTATACTGACACTCCTCACAAGAATATTTCTTCTCTTTTGTATGCGTTTTCTTATGGTTATTATAGTTTCCTAATGTGTAAGTTGTGGTGTTGCAGCCATCAAAATCACATTTATATTCCTAAAATGATATATTTGAAAATTTATTAGGGCTGTGGATTTATTATTATTAGTGCGAGTGTTAATTTTCATGGATTTCATACATGTAAATATATATAGAATAGAATAGAATATTTTTATTTCCCAAATTACAGGACCCATAAAGGGCATAAAATCAGATACAATTGATTGACACAATTGGTAACAACACAATAATAGTAACAGAGTACATGTTAATATATATTTAGTATATTAGCATTGGTCAGAATCAGAGCCAAAAACCACACATATATTGTGAATAAAAGAATACAAATACATTATATGTATTCATTATCAAATCATTTACTTGACTTAGTGTCAAAGAGAGGGAAGAAAGATACCAGAGGGACAGTCAAACTCATAGATCGAAAACAAACTGACAACGCCATGGACAAAAATAAAAAGACAAACAGACAAATAATAGTACAGATGACACAACATAGAAAACCAAAGACTAAGCAACAATATTTGTCATGTCTGGTGATGAGGGGACACCTGCCTTATCAGACGACACCGTGTCCATGGTCAATATTCATATCTGATTTCCTTAATTCTAAACAGTCACAAATATAACATCCCAGTCTTTCCATAAGAGTTACATTTTCGTGGGTCAACAGCCATAAAAATTTAGAAGATTTATTTAAGTTTTTAAATATATATACTTGAAACATAAAATCTTATGTTTAAGACAATACAAATTGCCTTTGTCTACAGAATTTGTCAAACCAGGAACCCTGCCACATGTACATGTATGTATGTGCCTGTCCAAAGTCAGGAGCCTGTAATTCAGTTTTTGTTGTTTTTTGCTGTGTTACATATTTGTTTTACTTTCATTTATTTGTACATAAATTAGGCTGTTAGTTTTCTCATTTGAATTGTTTAACATTTGTCATTCTATAGCTTACTAAGTAGTATGGGCTTTGCTCATTGATGAAGGCTGTATAGTCACGGATAGTTGAAATTTCTTTGTCATTTGGTCTCTTGTGGAGAGTTGTCTCATTAGCAATTTTCCACAGGTTACCCAATCATGCTAATTCTACATGATCTATGGAAGGATATTCTGGGCCTAAATTAATATATTGTTTGTTACCGAAATCCCAACCCTGCCAAGCCAGGTGTGAGTAGGTAGGTAGGGAAATAATTAATTTGAACAAAATCGGAAGATCTGGCAAGCCTGAAAATCGGAAATGAGTAAAATAATATTTGACTTAGTTTTGACAATAAAATTTTATGAGTAGCACCGTCTTTGCAGGGTCGGTCGGGATTGGGGAAACAAACAATATTTTATTTTAGGCCCTGGTACTGGGTCAAGTAAGAGCAACTATATAAATCAAAGTGTGCTTACAACTGGTACAATTTTGGGCAAAAATTAACTGTTTTCTTTTAATTTTGTTGTGTATCGAAAACATAAAACAGTGAATTTTTTCCTTACAGCCAATTTCATTGAGTGTGTAGCTAAAGTAATATCTTTGGTTAGCTTGCTTGCTAGCTGAACCGTGAAGTCATTATTAGGTAAGGTATACTACCCTCCTTTCGAATTAGCATAGTCCTACAGACAGATAGATTGGTTATCTGTCGGACTAGCCTATTCTTAAAGGAGGGCAGTTTACCTAACCTAATAATGACTTCACGGTTCAGCTAGCAAGCAAGCTAACCAAAGATATTACCTTTAGCTACACACTCAATGAAATCGGCTGTAAGTTGAGCTGATTGTAAGCTTGATTTGACTTCTTTTATTTGCAAAGATTACTTGACCAATTACCACATTGCACCAGAATGACTTTCTATAGAAGGTAACCTGATCAAAAATATAAATAACCTCCAGAGTCAAAAGTAGGTAATATACATGTAAATAGTCTATTATTAAGTACCTTGATATTTGGATGCTGTATGCCATGAACCTTGAACTGATGGATCTGCATACTTGATGTTTTATAAAACATTCTATTACAAATACTGCACTTTCCTTGATACTTCTTTGCTTTACGTTTGCATTCATCCATGTGTGACTCCACATCATATTGGCTACAGTATAAATATCCACACGCAGAACAACAGTGTTTGACCTCTGGATGTGTTTCCATGATGTGTAATGACAAAAGATTTAATTTTCTAGTTGTAAAATCGCAACTGTCACATTCAAAAATTTTCTCAGCTTCTTTTCTATTCTCTTCTTCGTCAGTGGTCCTGGTTAAAGATGTCGATTTCATTTCTTCAAGGTCGTGAACATTTTCTGGATGTTTTTGAATCCAATGCCTTTTCAGAGTCGATGATTGTGAAAACTTCTCGCCACAAAATTTACATGGAATACCGTGTACAAGCAATTCATGAGCTTTGTACTCTTTCAATGTTGGAAATATCACAGAACATTTCTGACATTTTGTAGGCTTTTTTGTGTATACTATTTTTTTTATGAATGAAGGGTATCCAGTTACCTCCCTTGCCTGTTCAACAGTATAGTGATGAACAATCTGAAGATGACCTGCATGGGTACGGGGATATTTCAATGAAGTCTTGCAATGTACACAGGTAATTCTCTGCTTGCCCAAGTTACTAGATGTTCGCCTTGCCCGTTTAGTCATGTTAGTGTGATAGTGGATCAAATGATGGGTTAGAGTATCAACACATGAAAATGTCCTGTCACATATATCACATTTCGTTGGCCTTTTTTCATCAGACAATAAATTGAAAGTATTTGTTTCTAACAATGGGTCTCTGGAAAATAGAACTGTACGTAACTTTACGTGTTTTTTTATTCTTGAGAAAATGACTCTTTGTCTGAGCTGATGCCTTCCGTGTTTCTTCTTTAAATGCAATGAAGCCATGCTGTAATAAGGGAAAGACAACCCACATTTCATACAAGTAAAATGGTTTCTCTTACACTTTTTCTGTTTTTCATTAACAATACTTGAATTATTCAAGGAACGAAAAAAGTCATTATTTATTGTATCCAATGGAATATTTTGTCTATTCAAGGCAGAATTTTCTAACAGAGTTAATTCATCACTTATGTTTGACTTCACGTAGGATAATGGTTCAATGGAATTATTTTCATCTTTAAAATAATGTGTTAGACCTACCACATCAGCTGACATTTCCTTTACAACTACAACTTTCGGTTCCTGTGTTAAACCTGTGACATAAGATGCCATTTCTTTTACGACTACAACTTTTGGTTTCTGTGCAAATTTTGGTCCTGAAATCTTTTCAATGTCCTCTATTTCTGAATTAGAGGTCAAATTTATGTCACCATTGGTAACTGATTTCTCAGGTTTAATAAATGAGTAACTCTGACAGATATTTTTCTTAAAAACTAGTTGGCTTGTAAACAATTTTGAAACAAGTATTTTCTTATGTCTTATTTCTCTATGATTTTTATGTATTAACTTATTTCTACAGACCGATGACTTAGGACATCTATTACATGTGTATTTCTTAGATGGTAATAAAACATTGTACTTGATTGTTTTCTTCTGATATGACGAACTTTGACTTTCCCTAGCCATACTAGCCTTGGAGAAGTTTTCACCTTCACATGCTTCATTTGGAGTTCTTTCTTTATCAGATGTATATGTTATCATTTGGAATTCCTTAATATGTTCTCTGTGTTTACGAAACCCATGTCTTTTTAGTGAAATTGGACGTAAAAATCTTGCATCACAGAATTTACATGGAATACCGTGTACTGCAACTGTATGAGCTTTCAAATCTTTCATTGTGGGAAATACCTCAGAACATTTCTCACATTTTGACACCTTCTTTGTTTGACCTATTATTTTAATATGTGATGGATAACCAGTTGCCTCCCTTGCCTGTTCAAATGTGTACTTATGTATACACTGTAGATGATTTGCAAGGCCACGTAAGGTCGTGAAACTTCTTTTGCAATCTACACATGTTCTTGTCTGCTTTCTTACATCAACTTTACATGTGGAGCACGTCTGCTTTAATGGTTGGTAATCAGCATGACATTTGGTGTCTTTCAAATGGCGGGATAACTTTCGCACAGATGAAAAGGTCTTCTTACATTTGTCACATGTTCTATTTTTGTCATTAAATTCTACGTGTACCTTACGTAAGCATGACTCTCTAGAAAACAAAGAAGAACGTATGTTCACATGCTTTTTTATTCTGGAAGTAATGGATCGTTGTCGTAACTGAAGTTTTCCATGTTTTTTCTTGAAGTGCAATGATGCACTGCTGTAGTATTGGAATGATAATCCACATTTCAAACAAGTAAACTGGTTTCCTTTGCACCTTTTCTGATTTCCATTACTTTGATTCAGCAAGGAGCCAAGAGAACCCCTATTGTTTGAATCCAACATACTAATAATTACTGAACCTTGTTGGAATGGCTTTTTGGAAAGATGTTTTATACATGAAAAGCTCTGAAAGATATTTTTCTTTAGAACTAATTGGCTGGTAAACAATTTTGAAACAAGTATTTTCTTATGTCTTATTTCTCTATGATTTTTATGTATTAACTTATTTCTACAGACTGACGACTTTGGACATCTATTACACGTGTATTTCTTTGATGGTAATAGAACTTTGTACTTGATTGTCTTCTTCGGATAAGATGACCTTTGACTTTCAATAGCCTTGGTAAAATTTTCTATTGCATTTTCAGAACTTTCTTTATCAGAAGTATCTTTTGTCATTATTCTTACAAAAGATGGATACCCAGTTGCCTCCCTTGCCTGTTCAAATGTGTACTTATGTATACTACTCTGTAGATGATTTGAGAGGTTACGTAGATTCGTGAAATTTCTTTCGCAATCTACACATGTCATTGTCTGTTTCATTACATCAACTTTACGTGGGTAACCTGTAGATATTTTCTTATGTTTTACTTCTTTTTCTATTAACTTATGTCTACAAATTGACGACTTGGGACATTCAATGCATCTGTCCTTCTCTGATGGTAATAAAACATTACTGATTTTCTTCTTCTGATATGAAGAAATTTGACTTTCAGTAGACGTTGGTAACTTTTCATTCTCAGTACTTTCTTTATCAGATGTGTCTTTTGTCATTTGTAATTCTTTAAGATTTCCTCTGTGCTTCTGAAATTTCTGATATTTTGAAACCTTCTTTGTTTGTCCTATTATTCTAACAAAAGATGGATAACCAGTTACCTCCCTTGCCTGTTCAAATGTGTACTTATGTATACTTTGTAAATGATTTGAAAGATTACGTAGATTCGTGAAATTTCTTTCGCAATCTACACATGTCATTGTCTGTTTTATTACATCAACTTTACGATAGTCACCTGTCGGTGTTTTCTGATGTTTTAATTCTTTTCCCTGTCTAGAAAGATCATATCTGTCAACAGATTCAACACCATGTGAAACTTTGACCTCACCTCGCCTTAAGATCATATGCTCAACAGTTTTTCTCGCATGAATTTCATGAAATTCAACTATGTGTTCATTTAGTTCTGATTCAAGTAGAAATTTTTCCGAACAATTTTTGTACGTACAAGCTATATCCGGATCTAAATGTTTTTTCTTGTGAACACTTCGACAATGTGCTCTAAAGTCACTCAATGAATCAAAGTATATACTACATTCTTTGCATTTTTGATTAGAAAATTTCTTGTACTTGAAATATTTTGGATAGCCGGTCAATTTCTGCACCCTGTTAGATTTGAGTTTATGTTTTTCAATGAGATGAGTTGCTAATCCACGAATACCCAAGTAACCTTTGTCACATCTGAAACATTCAAAATTCTGAATTTTTTTTTCAATTTTCTCCATTATATTCTTTCTTTTTTCAAGCGTATGTTTACTTCTTTTCTTAGATTTACATTTTCTTCTTTTTTTGCTTGAAGATTTCTTTTTTCCTCGTTGTATGTTTCTGTGTTTCAAATTTATGTGAAGTTTGATGCGAGATATACTTTTATGCCAAACTTTACAAATTTTACAGGAATATCCTATCTTTTGTACTAGTATGTCTTTATACTGTTTTGCGTAAAGTTTCTTCAATTTACAAACAAACAATTCAGCTAAATTCTTCTTTTCAAACTTTTTCATGGTAGGTTTCAATTTTCTAAATGAACTTTGTGAATGATTCATCAAAAGTCTGTGTCTATCATAATTGATAGTTTTCTTTTTTCTGTTTGTCAAATGTTTTGCATCCACTGTATATTTATTTCCCCCTTCTTTCACTAAAATAGATGATGCTTTGACAACATGTCCTGAGGTATCATGGGTATTGTTTTGATCTGTTTTTCCTGAAGTCTTGTCACAGTCTTTAGGATGGACAAGACTATCAATTCTTTCTAGCAGTACATATGACTCTTTGATCAAACTATCTTGTTTCCCTTGCTTTGGCATATTACTTGTCCCTGGGGACTCATTAATGACCTCTGTCCCACCTTCCCATGATGCAATACTGCCATCAACATCAGCAGAAGTTTCATCATCTTCTACCCCTAAATCATCACACATTTCAAAACTTTGACTGTCAAATGACTTATTCATTTCTAAATTTCTTCCATTTTTCACCTTCCCACTGACAAAGTTACAGACACAGTCTCCATTTACACCATTTGTTTTCATAGTTATCTGCCTTTCTTCATATGACTCTTCAATTCTTGTCTGATCTGATATATCTGAAATAGTTCCTTTCTCTTTCCTTGTAATGACATTTCTCTCCCTTACTTCATATGACTCTTCAATGCTTGTCTGTTCAGATATATCTGAAATAGTTCCTTTCTTTTTCTTTGGAATGACAGTTATCTCCCTTACTTCATTTGACTCTTCAATGCTTGTGTGTTCAGATATATCTGAAATAGTTCCTTTCTCTTTCCTTGTAATGACATTTATCTCCCTTACTTCATTTGACTCTTCAATGCTTGTGTGTTCAGATATATCTGAAATAGTTCCTTCATATTCCTTTTTTATACCAGTTACTTCCCCTTCTTGTGCATCATCTCCATTACTTGGCCTTGCTAAATTTGGTTGATATTCTTCCAAATATTTTTGAAGTGATGGAATCTGTAAACCATGACTTACATTCTGTAGCAGGGGAAACAACTCTTCACTATGATGTAGATTTCCAGTGTACATATAATCTAAAAATCCCATTAAGACTGCCACTTCACAATCTATTAAAAGAAATACAAACCATATAAATATGACAAAATTATACTTTTTTCTATAACAGTTTACAAGTTCAATTCATCAACACCAAATTAAAACAACATTCAATATAATTTTTATATAGATGATTTAAAACTGAGTTTCTCAAAAACATGTATCAGATCAGGACATTTTAACCAAAAAATATGAAAACATACAAGAAGTATGTCTTACAAGTGGGTAAACTGGAAAACTGAAAAAGAGACATTAAAAATAATATATAATAATCAACAAGAAAAAAGATTTTGACCTATTTGTTCAAGATTATCTATTAGAATATTTTCCTTTGTTTTTATTGGTACCTAGTGCTCATGCTCTAAGAATACTTGCATAGATTTCAATTCTTCCTATGTTTTTATTTATGAAATTTTATCATGGTTATGAAGTACAATGCTCTAAGCATGCTTGAACATATTTCAATTATCAGACAGATCAAACCAAAGACTTTAAAATTGGTATTGAATGTGTATTAAGACTAGTCAGATTGGAGTAAGAATAATGTGCTGTAGTATAGTGTCCTGTGGACCTGTATTCTACTTCAACTTTGTGTCCTGTCAGCCATGTTACTTTGAATGGCTCTAAAGTCTAATGGAAATTGATAAAAAGTTGTGTAAATTTATGTGGTTCATAGGTGTTTCTGGTTTTTTATATAGATTAGACCGTTGGTTTTCCTGTTTAAATTGTTTTACACTAGTCATTTTGGGGCCCTTTATAGCTTGCTGTTCAGTGTGAGCCAAGGCTCCATGTTGAAGGCCATACTTATTTTTTGTGGGCACACCTTAATTAAAGATTCAACCCTACCAATCTAGTATTAACTGTTTAAACTACCCTGAATGCAGGGTTCTTATTAAGGATTTTGTAGGTGACACTATTTCGTCATGTCCGTTCCAACAGTAGATAGAAAATACATGTAAAATAGCAATGGCTTAATTCATTGTTTACAATAAGTCCTCATGACAACGTAAAATAAGAAAATATTAAAAATTCGAAAACTTTCATTTGACATAATTTTGCTATGAAAAGATGATAAATGGGCTGAGTGTGTCTTTCTATGTTGTGATGTTACACTATTGTTTCAGAAAAAGGGTGAAGGTTTGGTACCATTAAAACATTTAAACCTGCTGCATTTGTTTGCACCTGTCCTAAGTCAGGAATCTGATGTTCAGTAGTTGTCGTTTGTTGATGTGGTTCATAAGTGTTTCTCGTTTCTCGTTTTTTATATAGATTAGACCGTTGGTTTTCCCGTTTGAATGGTTTTACACTAGTAATTTTTGGGGCCCTTTATAGCTTACTGTTCGGTGTGAGCAAAGGCTCCGTGTTGAAGACCGTACTGTGACCTATAATGGTTTACTTTTATAAATTTTGACTTGGATGGAGAGTTGTCTCATTGGCACTCATACCACATCTTCTTATATCTATGAGCTGATACAATTAGACACACCAGTTCTGAAAATGATAGTCCAGACCAGACTCAAGACAGATGTTCATCAGTCCTGGACTCATAGACTTGTCATGCTTGTCTTATTGAAAACCCTGCTTTTGGCCAAAAAGATTCAAAGATGATGGTGTTTTAATTTTTCTAAATTACAGGATTGTGAGTATATGTATATAAATGCTGAATTTGTTTGATGAATTTCTAAGATCATAAACCTCTATTTACGCTTACCTACAACAATGGACACTTGAGGTAAATCTTTCCATTTCTCTACCTCTGTCCTAATTGTGTCAGAAAATGCTGCCACCACTAGTTTGTGAGCCAGGACTGTTGTACCAGTTCTTGTAATGATTGACAGGTCACATAGAACCTGACTTTTGTACAGTTGATATAGATAATCTCCTAGGGGTGATAAGTGGTCGCAGTTTACCATCTTGAAGCTATTTTCTCTTTACTCTGTCCCTAAGATTAATTGTGGCCAGGGATACCTTCGTAGAGAACTCAAAACATTTCTGGATTATGGGGCTGCCAGCAAACTTTTAATTGATTCTTTTGAATGTGCCTGAAATTAATGAATCTATACTATATATATATAGCTACTACTAGGTGTGCAATATGTAGGTATTAACAGGTAGTTTGGACAAAAACATCATGTACAAAGTTAGCTTATTACTATCATGACTATGTATTATGCTAATACTACCAGATTACAGGTCAAATATAAAGCCTGTTAATCTTCTTTATGCATTTAAAAAAAATGTATACTCCTGCTGTTTTTTTTAAAATGCACGTAGAGGATTACTGACCTGTAGTCAACATGGTCAAATGCCTATGAATACTACAAAGATGTGTGATGGTTACCAGTAAATTCTATATTTAATGTTTCTACTGTATTTATCTATTTATTTATATAATGATGTTGCAGAGTGTGATTTGTTCTTAGCCAGCAGTGGCAGCATGTTTTATACTGAACCCTGTTTCTCACCTTCAACATGTTCAACTGCTGATGTTAGTGCAAGAATAATATGTTAAATCCCAAAAAACTTCTCCTCTCCAATGAATGGATGGATGCCTGTTCAACATCCAGTGGCAAGTTAAATGGATATTTAGGATGAAAACATGATAATGTGATATGAGTATAAACCCAGTGCTTTGCTCTAGATCAACATTCTGGGCCAGATTTTTATTGTGTTAGTTCACAAGGCATGTCACCTTAACCAGACACATTATTTTGACTCCAAGCCAACCAGTCTTTGCACTTAGTCCAAAATGGGGCATGCTTAATGGAGAAGCAGCAAATACCAATTTTCAAGTCCTTGGTTTGATTGGCCGGGGTTTGAACCTGGGAACGACCTCCAGCACTAGAGGCCGTATTTACACCACAAATTTACAAAAAGAGTACAGAAAAACATTTGCACCTGGAAAGTTTTAAAGTATGGCTGGATCTAGATAAATAAAATTAGGATGCAATTTAAGTTTAAGAATATTAAAAACTAAAATGGATTTGTATATGCAGAAGCTGCAAAAATAAGCTAAGATGGGAAAAATGTTTGAGAAGCAGAGTGAGTGAGTCTCCTCATATAATAAATGTAGTGAACTGTATTGATTGACATGGACAATAGTTGGACAATAGTTATCTGAGCCAATTTAAACTGTTTAACTGAGTGAACCATATCAAGTAAAACTCATGTGTTAATTTGTTTCCTTATAGGTTTAGGAGGTCTTTAAATTTAGTTATGATGCAAAGCTAAGAAAGTCTTGTAGGTGTGTGCAGGAGTGGGCTTGGGTCATCAATTTTCTTATTTTTTTATTTCGTACACAGATTTTTATTCTGTATATCATGTATATTTAAACACCCATTACTCTCTCTTTTTCATTTTTTTTGGGGGGCATATTTTACCCTTTTCTTCATTCTAAATTTTAAAACATTTTCTCTATTCTTTATTGCATATTTTAAAATATTTTATTTTAATTTTCTTTAGTCTGTGGCATATACATGTACACCCCATAAGCTAATTATAAAGACAAACATTGAGTCGACCAAAAGATTTATTATATTAGTCCCATATGCATGATAAGAGACATAACAATCAAAAACAAAAACATACAATGTATAGTAATGAAAATTTTATGAAATACTGAACAAGAAAATGAAAGTGCACATGTTTTTGTATGTATTTAACCCTATTCAATAACTACTTATAGTCCCATCATGTCAAGCTGCTACCCAAGACAATTCTGTTTTCTTTTCATGCAAAAGTGACTAAAGCCCTCAAAATCCTATCTTGAACCCTACTCGGAGTAGATTTTGTCGTTTAAGGTATAGAACCACTAATTCAGGCCCGGTCGGAAAGAACATACAAGAAAGTAGTACATATTTTAAACAAAATAGTTCCTACGCATAGCTGTATCTTTGTCAATAGTAGGAATATTTGGGTAGTTTTAGTATCAAATGAAAGCTTTGGGACTTGGGATCACTGTAGAACCCTAGTTGAAAGTTTTATTTGAATAATAAAGAAGTATATGAAATTTTGATAGGAGGGCTCATTTGGCCTGTTGTTCAGATCAGAAGTTCCTGTTTCTGTACTATCAAACTTCCGGGAACCAGTACGCTCTAATATGCAATTAAAGGTATGTTGATTTTTTCAGCACAAGTCAGCATAAGGTACAGTTTTGACATGAAATAACTGCCACTTAATTTGAACGTAAGACAAAGTAGCCATTTATGCTTGAAATTGCAGAATTTAACATAGAAAGCAATGGGGCTATGAATTAGTGGTTTTATACCTATTACTGACAGGCATGTTAAATTTTATTTTTAGAAATCATACCCTTTACAGTGAAAATTGGTCACATTTGTTGTCAGAAATCATGTTACATTATTTTTTTTATGTAACAATTATGTTAGTGTCAAATTACAGCCCTCAAATTGCTACAATAAGGTATTTTAGCCTTTTTTGGTCATTTAGCATGCACACAGTTAAGATTTGACCTGAAATTTAAATTTTTGGATTATCTAACACTGAAACCAATGAAACTTGTATATTATGACTAGTTTATAGTATAAATATTGTTTTTGGTCAAATTATCTAGTGAGTGTTCATGTTTTATTGTGTTTCTTGGTGAGTTATTTATTTCAAGGAAAATTGGTGTATACTTGTATAGGAATTCCAAAATCTCACTTGAAATGCATTTTATAACCATTTTAGCAAGTTGTCTATCTTGGAGATACATGAATTGCTCTTGTTGATCCATGTTTATACATAAAAGTATGTTTTTTTTACCAAATCACTATCCTTTTCCAACATGTAGAAAAAAGGGGGGGATAAAATTATCAATTATATTTTATGTTTGGACCACTGTATTTATATTCAAGGAAGAATCCCTGATAAAAATAAGACATATAGGTAAGAACACTGTTATTTGAGTAGATATTAACAAATCAGAACTGGTAAAAATTGAAAAAGTGTCATATCTGTCACTATTAGTATCCATATGTAGTTTTCTTTGTTTAACGCATATGTTACTACCAGTCCAATTTGAGCTTGAATTCAGTGATATATTGTTTTGACAAAAGCTTTATGTGTTTTTCTATGCTAGAAATAGATCATAGAAGGAAATTAAGTCAAGCAGAAGTCAATATAACAAGTTTGGTGCTGTTATACTGACAGGCATGTTAAATTTTATTTTTAGAAATCATACCCTTTACAGTGAAAATTGGTCACATTTGTTGTCAGAAATCATGTTACATTATTTTTTTTTATGTAACAATTATGTTAGTGTCAAATTACAGCCCTCAAATTGCTACAATAAGGTATTTTAGCCTTTTTTGGTCATTTAGCATGCACACAGTTAAGATTTGACCTGAAATTTAAATTTTTGGATTATCTAACACTGAAACCAATGAAACTTGTATATTATGACTAGTTTATAGTATAAATATTGTTTTTGGTCAAATTATCTAGTGAGTGTTCGTGTTTTAATTTGTTTCTTGGTGAGTTATTTATTTCAAGGAAAATTGGTGTATACTTATATAGGAATTCCAAAATCTCACTTGAAATGCATTTTATAACCATTTTAGCAAGTTGTCTATCTTGGAGATACATGAATTGCTCTTGTTGATCCATGTTTATACATAAAAGTATGTTTTTTTTACCAAATCACTATCCTTTTCCAACATGTAGAAAAAAGGGGGGGATAAAATTATCAATTATATTTTATGTTTGGACCACTGTATTTATATTCAAGGAAGAATCCCTGATAAAAATAAGACATATAGGTAAGAACACTGTTATTTGAGTAGATATTAACAAATCAGAACTGGTAAAAATTGAAAAAGTGTCATATCTGTCACTATTAGTATCCATATGTAGTTTTCTTCGTTTAACGCATATGTTACTACCAGTCCAATTTGAGCTTGAATTCAGTGATATATTGTTTTGACAAAAGCTTTATGTGTTTTTCTATGCTAGAAATAGATCATAGAAGGAAATTAAGGCAAGCAGAAGTCAATATAACAAGTTTGGTGCTGTTATAGGTATAGAACCACTAATTCAGGCCCGGTCGGAAAGAACATACAAGAAAGTAGTACATATTTTAAACAAAATAGTTCCTACGCATAGCTGTATCTTTGTCAATAGTAGGAATATTTGGGTAGTTTTAGTATCAAATGAAAGCTTTGGGACTTGGGATCACTGTAGAACCCTAGTTGAAAGTTTTATTTGAATAATAAAGAAGTATATGAAATTTTGATAGGAGGGCTCATTTGGCCTGTTGTTCAGATCAGAAGTTCCTGTTTCTGTACTATCAAACTTCCGGGAACCAGTACGCTCTAATATGCAATTAAAGGTATGTTGATTTTTTCAGCACAAGTCAGCATAAGGTACAGTTTTGACATGAAATAACTGCCACTTAATTTGAACGTAAGACAAAGTAGCCATTTATGCTTGAAATTGCAGAATTTAACATAGAAAGCAATGGGGCTATGAATTAGTGGTTTTATACCTATTACTGACAGGCATGTTAAATTTTATTTTTAGAAATCATACCCTTTACAGTGAAAATTGGTCACATTTGTTGTCAGAAATCATGTTACATTATTTTTTTTTATGTAACAATTATGTTAGTGTCAAATTACAGCCCTCAAATTGCTACAATAAGGTATTTTAGCCTTTTTTGGTCATTTAGCATGCACACAGTTAAGATTTGACCTGAAATTTAAATTTTTGGATTATCTAACACTGAAACCAATGAAACTTGTATATTATGACTAGTTTATAGTATAAATATTGTTTTTGGTCAAATTATCTAGTGAGTGTTCGTGTTTTAATTTGTTTCTTGGTGAGTTATTTATTTCAAGGAAAATTGGTGTATACTTATATAGGAATTCCAAAATCTCACTTGAAATGCATTTTATAACCATTTTAGCAAGTTGTCTATCTTGGAGATACATGAATTGCTCTTGTTGATCCATGTTTATACATAAAAGTATGTTTTTTTTACCAAATCACTATCCTTTTCCAACATGTAGAAAAAAGGGGGGGATAAAATTATCAATTATAT